ATATAACTTAATACGAAACTAATAGATACATTTTAAACAGTGTTGAACTGTTGAAGAATAGATATTTGTGTTGAACTATATGAATAATATTGTAACAATTTTTTTAAATAAAATCAAAATTTTGTTTCATTCTTCCAAGTATTAGGTATTTTCAATTCCAATTTATCTAATTGTTATTTAGTAAACCAAGTACAAAAAAATCAAGAATGCTCATCGATAAATATGGTCTGCAGACATACCTAGTTCGGAGTTTCGGACTCAAGATTATTTTTTCGGTAATATTATATTATAAATTGTAATCATGAAATACCTACTATTTACTACTTAGTACAATTATGATTATGCTAAAAAGTACTAATTCTATATAATTATCCATACAATTACAATATTACTGTCACATAAAATAATTAATGTACCTTACTTGTAGTTATACTTGTGTATAGAGTATTAATTACTAGTTCGTATAATCTTCAGTTGACACGTAGGTATTAATCAATAGAAACGGACTTTACTGCAGGTCTGAACTCAATGACGATAATTGGAAAATGAGTACTAAATACTAATGCAGGTATAATATATTTATATTATTATGTTGCCAAGTATTTGTTATTATACATAACACACCAATAGCAACCATTTAAATTACTGCAGCTTAATAACAATATTATACGCTAATGCAGGCCAAGTATTAAACTATACCTAGCAATTAACAATGGTTAAAAGCTCACTGAATAGGTGCACAACTTAAGTCACCCAAATGTCTATACTATATAGTTATTATATTTAGGAACTACCACAGAACAAGAACTGCAGTTTACTATAATATACTTTCTCGATCAATATATAGAACACTCGTGTCTCGCTGCAGTGTATTGTGTACGCAGAAAACCATAAAACAACAAAATTATAAAGGTTATATTATTATAGTTTATATCTCAGACATCCTTGCACTGTTAAAAAGTGTGCCGTCTTAACCTGCTTAAAGTGGGCAGATTGGTCCAGATTTGTCGAACAGAAATGTGCGGTTATTAGAGTCAACGGTTTGAATTATCGATTTCAAACGATGTGTGTCCTACACAATTTTGAAATACGTAGAAGTACAGATTTCTTTGGTACCGACCACAAGCATATATATCACGGAGGATCGCTCGTTCGAGGATCAGCAGTCGTTCATGGCCTCTCAAGCCGGGTTCACACTACACCTTGTCGAGTGATTTCGTATTTGTACGTTTATACCAAAATGCAATACCAATGATATTAATATTGTATCCGATGATAACATATTATATTACTTTATTTTAGCTATCACTTTTCCTCACATAAATGTAACCACACGGTCAAAAATTGAATACATTCAACTTTGCAGTATCGTTTGGTAACTGTGATTATTTTACACTTCACAGTGTAGTGTGAACCCGCACTTGGCTTCAGGTACTATCTGAAAGTGGTCGTTTTCGGCATGCATATATTAGTTATATATATCAGACTCAGCATTGAAGCTCGGACGAATGTAGGTATATAATATTTAAAAATTATAAATATACTAGCTGATCCTGTGCACTTCGTTGCCCGTTAAATGTATCAACTCTATATGACTCAACCTTTGTTCAATTCGTTATTTAATATCGGTGTATGGTCAGTGGCGCAACTAGGCTAACTGGGGCCCCAGTGTCACTTTTAACGAAGGGGCCCCAATTAAAATTATTTATGCTTATTATTGTGAATAAAATTTGGTCGATAAAATGATAAATTGCCAAAAGGAAAAAAATTAGGAAATATATTTAATGGTAACTTATACTTATACACTTGTAAGTTGTAACAACTGTTTCTAATCAGTTTACTGAAATGGAAGTGGTAATTACTATTCATTATCAATACCACATATTAAAATTAAGTTAATAGATTTATTAAAAGTTTTACAAACCAAATAACAACATAAATCATAATATACTTATAAAAACAAATAAAAATTATAAGTTTTAAGACTACACTACTCATTTATATACAATATACTATACATTTTAATATTTTATACATTTAGATTAATATAATGAAAACTATATTGTTAGAAGTATTTTATTTTCACTTAAGAAAATTTTTTTTTCTTGTTTTTAAATCGGCAAACGTAGAAATCATTTTTTCCAAATCAACTTTATTAGTTACATTTCTTTCTATATTTAAAATGGAAATATTAGAAAGTCGATCCTGCCTCATACTGTTCCTCAAATAGTTTTTAATTAATTTCAATTTCGAAAAAGATCTTTCTGCCGTTGCAACTGGCACAGGCAATGAAATATAAATTATGCATGCAGTTATTACATCACAGTATGTTGTACAAAAATCATTTTTAACTATAAATAAAGCCAGATCCTTAATCTTTTGAATATTATTGTTTAATAATCCTTTTAAACACAATAATTGTCTGGTAAAATCTGAAGAAATGTCATCATTGTATAAATAAAAAAAGTCCATTGAAGCCTTAGAGATCTCATTTTCATCCATTTTAGCTAACATTGTAGGAAATAAGAAATCAAAAGTCTCTGTAACTTCTTGTAGTCCTTGAAACCGTGAATTTAGTTGAAATATAACTGTATCAATCACGGGTAGAAAAATTTTAGCCCTGAAATTTTCATCTGTTATATTTAGGCGACGATCACCATCAATTTCATCAAAATATTGTGGAGCAAGTCTACTCCTCTTAACATGAAAGTTAGGAGTAATTCCCCATCTAAAGCATAATTCTTTACACTCCAACAGTATATTTTCATAGCTATCTCTTAGGTTTTCTATAATTGTTTTGTCTTCATTTAAGTTTTGGCATGCATTGTGCAAATTTGTATTTTGTTTCTGAAGGGATTTGGATACCCTGTGTAATGCTCTCAAAATCTTTTCCCAAAAACATAAAATTAGAACAAATTCCATAGATTCTAGTTTTTTTAGTAAATTACTAGATTATCATAGACCTTATACTAGTTTAAGGTCTATGTAGATAGTAGACTATCTGATTATATTATTAGACAGTTCATTCGTCTTTTTCTTTATTAAATATTATGAAATTGATAATTTTATTTTGTTGTCCATACTTCGTGAAATTATATTCGTACATCAAAATGTCATGATTTTTATATTTATTGTGAGATTTATTATCAAATATTAAAATAGATTATTTTATTTAGGCCGGTGCCCGGGGGCCCCTGCAGTCTTTGGGCCCCGGTGTTTGACACTCCCAACCCCCCCCCCCCCGGTAGTTGCGCCACTGTGTATGGTGTTCAAAATTTATCTCAACTTTTTCGTTACCCGGAATAATAATTCTGCTTCGCAGCAGTACATTAACAGGTAGGCAATTTACCTGCGGTAGACCCCGTGCTGTTTGTACGTAACTTTAAAATTTAACTCTGAAGTATCAAAGTTATACTAAGTTTGTCGTTTTTACTTAAGTCCACCTACGGTAGATTAATATGATCAATTCATACAAAATCCTATCCTAACCTAACCGTACTAAGATCCGATGAACAAAACCAATAATAAATAAACACTAATTTCTACTGTTGACTGTAACCAATGGCAACTATATTAATAAATAAAAATAGAATTTCCAATTTCCATCGTGAACCTTAATGTCCTTAATGTCCTGTTTGAGAACCTGTTTAAAATGCGAATTTCGGAAAATCCTTTCTTATTTCACTGTGAAAATATGAGAAGAATCTCTATTCCAAATTTCAAGTTCGTACTTTACGTAGTTTTTGAGGTACAGCGATCAGTGACTAAGTGGTATTTGGATTTTATATGTACAGATAACGTAAGCTCCTACGCTTGTATTTTAATCATCATTTAAAATTACAGGTCTTAAGGTATATAGGTACCTAATAATATGTTATACATATTTTACACTTGGAGGTAGCTGCAGGCTGCAGCTATACATAAAATATATTCCTCGAGTTATTTTTCGGGTAAAATAAGCGTCTAAAAATACGTCGCATCGTTGTTGTATTGTTATTGTTGTTTTTTAAATAATGACGACGATCGAGTGCGATTTATTGTCGCCGATCTTTTTATATAATATCATTATATTATACATATTATACAGTCGTACTACTATACGCAATCACGTTGCGAAAAGGACATAAATTTAAAATTACAACTAGAGACGTCTAATGGAAATAACCGTTTAGGATATACATTTTATACGGAGAAAAAAACGGAAAAGAAATAAATAGGTCGTATTTAAATTTAATACGTATAACGCGATACTCACGTTCCGATTGGTATATTTTCACCGTTCGCTATAAGATTTGTCGGTTTCGCTCGACACCATATCGGATTCAAAACTTTTAAATCTTTATATATTCGTTCTGCCACACCGCGTCGATGGCGATAACAATAATAAAATATAAATAGCTTTAACCACAGCGCGTTTTATATATTACGCATAAAAAGGTACTTTTACAGGCTACAGCTGATTGGTTAAAAAGTATGGTATGCAGACGATGGAATACTCGTCATCTATTGAAAATAGGTAAGTCCAAATTTAAAAATATAAAATATATGTTATGCAGTGTTTATGTTGTGCGCAAACGAGTCATCGATATAATCTAGGTAAACAATTTGGATTGTGCGCAAACGAGTTGCACCGGGGCGCAACGGTAGTTTTGGCGACACGCTGGTCGGACGATAACAATAATAATAATATATCATATCCGTGTATGGTACACATGTAGAGCATTTGACGTATATATATATTATACGAGATTAGAAATTGCCTAAATGATTCTCCTTAAATCAATGCCATTGCGAGGCCCCTTAATATACGAATGTAAAAACTAAAAACCCAAACAACAATTATTGGGAATAGAGTAAGTAAATCGAAATCGATTTAATAATCAGAATTATTCAGAGGTATTGTACGTAGTTGTGATATTCTGATACGTATATATCTACATTGTATTCAAAATAAATATTAAATCATTTATACTATATTATTAATATCTTAGACAAGTTCTATGCCTGAATTCATTAATAAAAATGTTGGTCCATTTGTATCTCATCGGCGAACCATGCAAAGGCATAGAAAATCTAATCAACCAACATCACCACAAACCATGACCGATTTACATTACCAATTGACTGGAGACTATGTTCATCTTCCAGTGATGGATAATGTACCTATTTATATGGGAAAAATAGGCACTGACCCCGAAGAAGGGATAACAATGTTGTTTGTATTACCAGAAATTAAAAAGTAAATACTATGTAGTATGTAATTAGAAAATGAATTATCTTGATAGGTATCTATGTAAATAAATTATAATAACTGTATAAAACCTATTTGTTTTCTTTTTCAGTATACTGAGGACTGGATCAACGTTTTTGATGGATGGTACATTTGCTGCTGCTCCATCATTTAACCGGGAGTGTCAACAGCTATATGTTATAATGGGTATAACATTCAACACCGTGAGTTATACCTAAAAATAATTATACTCATGTATACAAATATTATAATGTGATAATCATTGCAGCTTACCTTAAACCTTAGGTATCTATATGTGTATACATTTTATAAATTATAAAATGTTTGTATTTTAGGGATTCCCAATTGCATTTGCTTTGATGTCAAGAAAGACAGCGAGGGCTTACAATGCCTTATTTAAATAATTAAATGGCTATTAGAAATTGAGCCACAGTGGACACCACAAACAATTATTGTAGATTTTGAGAGAACTGCAATGGTGTCTGCATTGAAAGCAATTTTCAATAACGTTATGATAAGGGGTTGTTGGTTCCATAGCTCTCAAGCTCTGTGGAGAAAAGTTGGAGAATTTGGTAAGCTTATAAATATTTTTGATGGTTCAATAAGTATATATTAAATAATCTTAAATGTATTACAGCCTACAGGAATGATAGAAATATGTACCGGGCATCGAAATGCATATGACATCGTACATATGCTAATGGCATTACCACTTTTGCCTGTGGATAAGGTGATGGAAGGCTTTCTTTCTATAAGACAATCTTACACAGAAAATGTTGAAAATAGTTTGCCAGTAGAAAGCTGTAGAATATTCCAAAGATATTTCCAGTACTCCAAGGTTTGTTAAACCTGAAAAATATTAGAAGAAGATGATATAGGAATATGATGCATTACATTTTAACATTTTAGTTTTACTTAGCATAGTTGTAAAATTGTTTGTCAATTTTAATAACAAAGAACTTTGTTTAAGTAATTGAACAAATTTTTTTTAAATTAAATTTACATATTTATTTTAATTTATTTAGTTGTTAATAATTTAAATATGAATAGTAAAATACTGACACTGATTGAGAAATCATGAATAACAATTACAGTGTATTTAAAAACATAATGTATATACATTATACAGGACCAAATGCAGACATCTTGTCCGTAAACAATGTTATTTGGTGGACAAACAACGTATTGGAAGTTAGCCATCAACACCTCCGCATGCACATGGGTAATATGCATCAACCAGAACCATGGGTGTTTTTAAGTAATTTATTTTATAATTTTTACTTATTTACCTTGTACATACTGTTTTTAATAAAAACATTTTTGTCTTCATAAATTTAAATTAATTATCACTATACTCTTTTCAGAATAAGAACGCACCAGATTTACGTAACAAAACCGGTTTTGTCCGTGGCCGCCTGGTTCCTTCTTATTCTGAAAAGAGTATATAAGGCACCGTAAATGTCTAACAAAAAAGTATAATCTACCATGATAGGTTTTATAAAACATTTAAATTTTGCAGAAGGGTTAATTACATACTCAAGTGGTGTATTGGCCGATTACAATTTGGCAATTGATGGTATCCAGGTCAGGGAACCACAACGGCAAATCTGGATGGACCACCAGCGAAACCTCTATTTGGCTTCTAGGCTGTTAGCTGAAGGGCGTTACACAGTATCTGAATTTTTGGCATGTACTAAACATGTTACCAAATTTTTCATCTTATTTCACTTTTTCAATATAATTACTTATAATTTATATATGATACAATTTGATGTAGGCACAATCATAGGCGCCAGGTTTTCAAAAATGTATTGGGTGCTCTTACCAATGTCAATCAGCGGTGAACGCAGGGTTGTGGTGGGGGTTAAGGGGTTTCACCCCCCCCCCCCTCGAAATTTCTCCGAGGCCTAGTATAATGTTATTGCTATACAATATTTATCTATATAGTAAATTATTAATAGAATAACACCCCTCCCCCGAAAAAAATCCTGTGTGCCACTGATGTCAAGTATTAGTGAGGGGCTTTTCCCCCCACACCCTATACTAAATTTTCTATAAACTGGTAACAAAACATATTTACAAATTACAATATAATATTTTATACAATTTTTAATGAATACCGAGTGTCCGAGTATATAATAAAATAAGAGTTTTTAGTAACATTTTAAACAATTAAAATAAAAATATTTTAAATTACAATGAAAATGTGTTTTGGCGAACTTTGTTTTTATTTATAAAAGTATTGACGACTTTTTCAATATCAACATCTTTGTTTCGATGGACATGAAGAAGAGCTATATCATTGAGACGAATTTGTGTCATCGTTGATCTCAAAAATGTCTTCAACCTCCTCAATGCTAAGAAAGACCTTTCTGCAGTTCATGATGAAACTGGAATAGTTAAAATAATTTGTAGGAGTTTGGAAAATTCTGATAACATATCACACAAATTGTCAGATTTCATGAAATTTCTTGTAAATTTTTTATAGAGATATTCCTAGAATTTGCAATATCTAAAAACACATCCCGATGTAATATCAATTTATCTCCGTTAAAATCACTTCCATAAAATAGAATTACATTGGTGATATGTTTACCTATTATAATTAATATATTCGAGCACCCGGGCACCCATGTACTTGGCGCCTATGGGCACAATAAAATTATTCAAATCTTAGAGACTAGAGTTATCTACACTCAATATTGCAGACAAGATAAAGAAACTAAAAATAAGAATCTTACATTTAAAGTTCACCACTAGGTACTGCAAGGAAGCGGCTTTAGATATTTTAACAATAAAAGTATGAACATACTACTTAATAGGTATGTAGTTTGTATAAATTTAAACTTATAAACTTAGGTGTAGTTAGTTGTTACATTGTTACATTTAAAATAAATAGTGGGTAATATTATTAAACTACATAGGTACCTATTGTAGATAATACATTTATACTGGAAATGTGAAAACGTAAATATTGTAAATACCTCATTACCTAGGACCTAAAGCTAAAGGTGGGCATTTAAATAAAATGAATAATATATGTAACCCAAGTCATGTTAGTTAAGTGAATACAAAGTTGTTAAATTAGAAGTTATTAGTTAGCAAATAAAAAATTTAACTCTCAGTCTAGTCTAAAGGTAATATGAACAAAATATTAACTTAACTCTGTTTTAAAAAAAGTTCTATCTACATTTTTAAGCGGCAGGTGGCTCACATTAAGAGTATTTTGTTTCTTTCTATTCTTTCTGTAATATGAAATTATTTTATATGTTTAAGAAATAGAAATTTCAATAAATATCATTGTATCATCCGTTACTATTATTATTATTATTATTATTACCTATAGTATTTGATTAGGTACTATTATTTCATGTATAAAACCATTAAAACCAACAATTTAAAAATATTTTTAACTTTAAAAAGTTAATTATAAAATAATTAACTAGTTAAGTTAAAAATAGGTAAACTAAATATTTAGCTCAACTTAAACTATTTTAACTAGTTAATGCTTACCTTACCTAAACTATATACTAAATAGTCAATAACACATGATTAACATACAGGGTGTCCCGTGAGGATTTACCTATTAGCCGTAGAGGGGGACTCGCCGCCCGGACAAAAACCGGTTTTTTGCCGTTTTACTTATTAATTAGAAAAATTATTAAAAATCAGAAAATTAATGAAATTAAAATGTTGAAACGTCAATATTTTCAGAAAAATGAACTCTACAAAATGGCAATCTTCAATATTTTTTTAAATAATTAATTAAAAAAATAATTTTTTTAACTTTTTTACCAAAACATAAAAAATAAAATAAAAAATTAGTTATTTGTAGTGCTTACCTCTGTGAGTCTTAATAAGAAAACAGAATTACGATATCTCTATTATTTCAGGAGATATCGCAATGAGTAAATCCTCACGGGACACCCTGTATATAGATATAACACCGAGATAAACAATATGTATAGTAGGCACTTACTCTATAACTATCCACATTCGAACGCACCCCAGTATAGACCGAATGTAGGAAAAAAAAGCCACGGAAAAAAAAGCCAAGAAAAAAAAATCCACGAAAATAATAGTAATGAATGTATTGATTTTACAATGTGTATTTTTTTATTTTTATTATAAATTTAATAAATTTACTTATTTAATATTATTAACTTCTACTTTTCTGGTGGGAAAATATTTAAATACAAATTTTATACTATATAATAACATAACTTAATATTGGTTCATATTGCAACATGTACTTTTGAAAAAAAATCACCCTGTACAAAGTATATAATAATAAAAAAAAATGTAAAACAAGGTTTATAGAGGTATAGTATAACTTAATATTAATTGTAGTTCATAGTTCATACTGCAACAGTGCGGCATGTAGGTACCTACATTTAAAAAAAATCACCCTGTACATACTACATAGTAGATACGTTAAGAATAACTAGGTGTAAGACATAAATCAATCAATTAATTTCAAGATAATATGTAGTTTATCCACAAAGTATCAATTTATTTTTGTCAAATTGTGACATGTTGGAAATTTACTGAAGGAAAAGTCTACTTAAAATTTAAAAATATTATGTTATGTTATACCTACTTTATAATGTAACATTAAAGACTGAGTTAGTCTAATTAAAATGTATAAATATTATGTTACCATGTTATACCTACTTTAAAATGTAAATTTAAATACTGAGTTAGTACACTAAAAGCTTAAAAATATTATGTTATGTTATACTTTAAAATGTGTTCTGTATTTATTTACTATATTCCTGTATCAAAGTAACCCACTAACCCCACAATACATTTTAAATTATATCTCGAAAACTATTTGACCAAATTTTAAATGGTTCGAGATTGATAGGTTTCATAACCTTTCCATTAATTTAAAATTAAAAAAAATAGTGGTTTCAAAGTCACCCCGAAGGCGGTATAACTTTGATAGCTATTTTCAAAATATAATTTTAAAAAAACCAATAGTTGAAAAAATTAAATTACAATTTGAGGAAATTGGTAAAAACAAACTTGAGGCAACAACACTATTTTTAGATCTGTGACATAAGTATTAAAGAAATTACAAGTAAAACAACAATAAAAAATTAACAAAATTTATCAAAGTCACCCCGATCTGCGGTACCTATGTTAAACATTTAAAAAAAATTATTTAAAAATTATTAATTTATAATTATTATAAAATTTGGATTTTTTTCCGTGGCTTTTTTTTCTGACTATCGTATAGACCATAGTATAAGGAATAATAGTATTCCATAGACTATGCCACTACGGTCTACTGTCTTCGATCATAAACGACAAAAACATTGTATGATCTTAAGATGTTGATGAATGATGGCAGCTGATGGCAACGATTTTACGATATAATTTATAAACAATAGTTATAAATTAAAATAATAGCCGTGGATAATGTACATATTTTGTACCGTGAAAAATATGTAATAAGGGCCACACAGTTATAAATTATAATCAATTATATTATCATAATGACATAATAGGTAGGTAATAAATAATTATATTATAATATTAATATTACATATCGATATCCACAATCTACTTAGGTACCTACTTATAGTACATACATCAATATACATACTTTACTAATATAATAGTTTTTATAATTGTTTGTGTTTTGTGTTGTAATATAAGTATTAAGTACTAAGCAGGTATTATTATCTAATATGCGTCAGATTTTATGTCTATATTTCCATAATAAAATGTAAAAAAAGGTACTTAGATCACAACAACACTGTTCGACTGTTCCATAGACATATGTCTATGGACTGTTCTATATAAAATAAAATAGTTTAGTTACTGTCTACGTAGTACTTA